TCTGTGTAGCTTTGCGCCTTTTCCTGGAACTTGCTTTGGAGACCAGGCTGGCCTCGAACTCAGAGATCCGCCTGGCTCTGCCTCCCGAGTGCTGGGATTAAAGGCGTGCACCACCACCACCCGGCCAGAGTGAGAACATTTTGAGGAGAAACAGTATTGTGGAGTCTATAAGAATCTTCTTTTATATCTTTTTTTTTTGTTTGTTTTTTGTTTTTTTTTTAAATTAGCAACCACATGGTGGCTCACAGCCATCTATAATGGGTCTGATGCCCTCTTCTGGCATACAGATGTACATGCAGATAGAGCACCATATACATAAAATAAATAAATCTTTAAAAATATTTAAAAATAATAATAATTAGGGGATGGAGAGGGCTCAGCAGGTAAGAGCACTTGATGCTCTTACAGAGGACTTAAGTTCAGTTCCCAGTACCCACATGGTGGCTTACAACCTTTTACTACAATTCCACAGGTCTAGAACCCTCTTCTGGCCTCTTCAGGCACCAGGAATGCATACAGTACACATATATGTAGGCAAAACACTCATACAAATAAAATTACATTTTAATTTATCCTGTGTGTGTGTGTGTGTGTGTGTGTGTGTGTGTGTGTGTGTGTGTGTGTGTGTACACACAGGTGTCACAGCATACAAGCAGAGGTCAGAGGAAAACTTCTATGAGTTGACTCTTTCCTTCCACCATGCAGGTCTCTGGATTGATCTCAGGCTTGGTGGAAGTACCTTTATCCACTGAGCCATTTTTCTAGGAAAACTTCTATGAGTTGACTCTTTCCTTCCACCATGCAGGTCTCTGGATTGATCTCAGGCTTGGTGGAAGTACCTTTATCCACTGAGCCATTTTTCTAGCCCTGATTCTTTTTTTGGGACAAAGTCTCAATATGTTGTTCAGTCTTGCCTCAAATTTATAATCCACACATTTCAACCTCCCATATAGATCTCATTATACTTATTATAACAGGAAATATATTTAGCACAGTGTATACACACACACAGTCATAGGGCTAGGGGTGTATTAAATGATAGCATGCTTGCCCAGCATGCAGAAGGACCTCTGGTCCACTTCTACTGAAAGAGAAAGAATGCATTAATCATTTCCAGCTGTGAACCCTGCAAGCTACAGTAATGACTGGCCCAGCAAGACATGCCCACTTGTGCAACAGCGGCGTGAACACTGTGGGACTAACCAACTACTTTTTGACTGGATTTAAGGCCCACTCCACCAGATGAAATCTATACCTGACACCATTATAAGGCTAAGCACCTATGACAAAATACCTCATAGGCTAAAGGAGAGAATTTACTACTGTTATTCTGATAAAAAGGACTTAATATTAAACCATCACTATACATGGATTAAGGCACCTCTCAATCCTCAAAAGAGAAGCTTCTGTTTGCAGTAGGTGATGATTAAAACAGATCTGAAACTGGGAAAGATGAAGAGAATAAGAGATGACAGAATTTTCATCCCTAAGGGATTATATATATACACCACACCCCCTCTTCAAGGCTCAGGATCATTGTGGAGGTCAGGGCAGAAAGTGTGTAAGAGCCAGAGTTGGCTGATGACATGGTAACAGTGTTTCTGAAACAGCAGGGCAGGCACACATAGGAACTCACACCAGTTGTGACATACGCACAAGATTTGTGCAAGCCCAGGCCAGACCAAATCCCAGCAGAGAGGGGTATTAGTGTGCTGTTAGATGCTGGGAAAGAAAGGGTCAGTTTTCTCTAAGAGTATAGCCCATGATAAATGAACCACGCTCCAGCAGAAGTACACACCTCTAAGAATATTTGGGCTGCACAAATTGGTTTCGATGGGGGCAAAAATGATACAAAGTTGGGTGGGGGTGTATCTGGAAGAGCTGAGGGAGGGAGGGAGGGAGGGAAAGACCAGAACTCACTTCGAAACTGTGTTCTGACACTGAGTATTGACTAAATCCTCTAACTCGTATCAAGACCCCTGCTCCATTACACTTCTACTTGCCTCCGTTTCTTTTCTCACAAGAATGTTGAAAGGAATACATATAAAGTACTTCGAAACAAAACCAAGATACATTCTATTTTCTCATCCTTTTTTATAACTTTAAACAAGTAGATTAGATACATGTACTTGAACTGCTTCACTTTTCCCTGTAAATAAACAATATCAAACTCATACAAGATTTACTGTGAATAATCAAAATAAAAACACAACTTTCTGAAAAACTATTATAAAATATAATGTAGGAAATATTCTGAAGTCTTGAAATAAAGGTATTAATATGAATTGTGGTTTTGGTATACTCTTTTAGACATCAATAATTTAAAAGTATTTTTTAATACATCTTATTTGTGTGTGCACACGTGTATGATTGTCACAACACACTTGTGGAGATCAAAAGACAACTAGTAGGAATCAATTTTCTCCTTCCACTATGTGGGTCCTGGGGATCAAATTCAAGTTGTCATGCTTGGCAGCAAGAGCCTTAACCCTCTGAGCCATCTTGTTGGGTTTCAAATAATTTTTTTGTCTTATGTGTGTATATGTTTGATATGAATGCATACGGTGTGTATGTGTGTATGTGTGTTAGTGGGGGCATATGTGTGTGTGCAGAGACCAGAGGACACCCTCGGGTACCACTCCTCCTTACTCACCTTGTTTAGAAAGGGTCTCTTGTTGGCTGCTGTCTATGGCAGGCTAGCTGGCCCAGGAACTTCAGATCTCTCCTGTCTCCTCCTCCTCCCACCTCACTGTTGAGCACTGGGATTACAGACCCAGGCTACTGCATCTGGTCTGAACTCAGGTCCTCATGCCTATGCAGGAAGCACTTTCCATATACCGAGCCAGCTCTCCAGCCCAAATCACTCCTGCTGAAGGAAACTACTGTATTTCTGATGTCTTCCTTACTTTCTTGAGAGACGGTCCCACTGCATAGGCTAAGCTGGCCTGAAATTCACTACGAAGCTCAGGCTGGCTTTAAACTAGTGAGCCTCAGGCTCCTAAATGCTGGGATATTTAAACAGGTCTTCCCATGCCCAGCTGACTGTCTTTTTTGAGGCAATAAATACAGAAACACTAATACAATCTGATTTTTTCTTTTGTATTACTTGAATATAGTACCTTTTGAATTACTCTGTACTCTAGGACTATATTGATATAGTTCTGGATGCAATGCAAAACTCTTTCATGGTGGTCTTACCCAACACATGGACAACTCCCAAGGCTATAAGGCCTATAACTGTATACTCTAGAAGAGACTGCCCCTGTGGCAATCAATATGCAACAACTAAAAGAATTAGGGCCCCATACAATGGCTCAGTGTGCTGCCAAGGCTGGGGACATGAGTGTGATCCCTACAGCCACATGGTGGAAGGAAAGAAGAGATTCCTAAACCTTGTTCTCTGACCTTCCTGTGCACGCTGTGGCACAAACCCTGCAAACACAAAATACATTTTAAAACTGTAACTTAAGAAAAAGGAGCTGGAGAGATGTGCACTGGTTAGAGCGACTGCCATGCAAGCATGATGACCACAGTTCAGACCCCAGAATCCATGGAAGTACCAGGCAGGTACAGTGGCCCAGCTGGAACTCAAGCTTCTGCATGAGGAGACAAAGGGTCCTAAGAGCAAGGTGGCCAGAAAGACCAGCTATACTGGTGGGCTGCGAGCTTGGGAGACCCCGCCTTAACGAATAAGGTGGAAGAGTGGGAGAGGATTAGCCCTAGCTTCAGGCCTCTACAATCATATATCCACACATGTGTGCGTGCGCGCGTGCGCGCGCGTGCGCGCACACCCACACCCCCACACCCACACCACAAACACACAAAGATGGATAATAAAACCAAAAAACCAAAAACCAGTTCTAAAAACTAGAAGAATCATGGCTCCTAAGGAGATCTTAATTGGCCAAATGGTTAGTTCAGAGGTGGAGCACTTGCCTAGCATGATTCAATCCTCAAAACCACATACAAGACTTGATATTACTCTGTGTGTGTGTACATGTACATGCATTTATACAAGTGTGCTGAGATGTGCTCTTACTCAGTTGCCCAGACTGGTCTTGAACTGGTGGGTCAAAGCAACCATTCTGACTCACTTTCCTAAGTAGCTGGGATTGTAGACATGTACCATCACACCCTGCTCTATATTTCATTTTATTTTTATGTGTATGTGTGCTTTGCCTACATGTGTGCCTGGTGCCTGTGTAGGCCAGAAGAAGACATTAGATTCCCTGGGACTGAAGTTACAGACAGTTGTGAGCCATCATGTAGATGCTGGAAATTGAGCCCAGGTCCTTTGCAAGAGCAGCTGGTGTTCTTAACTACTGAGCTATTGCTCCAGTCCCTCATGTCTTGATTTTAACAGCTTATATTTAAAGTGGTGGCCTTTTCAGAGAAATAAATTCAACAGTACCTTAAGCTTACCAGATATAGCCAACTAATGACATTCAGTAACAAACAGCAGACGAACTCCTAACACTGACTATTATGAATACTCAAGAGTTGACAAGCTGAGTTCAGAGAAGACCATTTTGATCCTTAAGTTCTACCACAAAATACAAACAAGATAAAAAAAAAAATCATGGAGAAAACCAGATGACACAGGAGTAGAATGTGGGGACTTGTTTAAAACACATCTACACTTCATCCAATCATCTGCTGAAATCTTGGGAAACAAGTGTTTTTTCATTTTTTTCTTTCTTTTTCTTTTTTGATATTTGGCCTTGTTCCCCTTTATAAAGTTTCATTAATAAGTAAGTGGTAAGAGACCATTCCAGCGTGAGTTATCAGTATTCTTATGGTACCATTAATAACTTTCAGAAGGGTAACAGGAGCACAGTAGCAGTCTGGTAAAGAGAAGACAGGCAAAGAGCAGAGTAAAATCCTCAAAGGGTATCTTTTAATTATGGCCGATGAGCTGGCATCCATTTCTACTGAACCCACATGGAGCAGGGATAAATTCTCACTAGCAAAACCCTTACTCTAATACAGGCAGCACTTACTTTCGAAGGTGGTCATGTTCTTTCAAAAACAGTTCTGTTCTCCTGTTGTTCACTCCAGACCCACTTTTATACGACCTAGAACAACGTCAAGAAAAGGCAAGAACACTTTGAAGACACTGCACCATCAGCTTAAGGGGCTAACCCTGAGACAGCAGAAGAGACCACAGTTTCCAATAAACAATCAGAACACAATGTGTTTCATTTCCCTCGACAAACACTATTACAGACGTCAACATAAATGTTCCTCCAGATTAGATTTAGGGGTGTTCTGTTCTTCACCAGCCCAACCCAATCTTAAGAGAGGACCCTACTTTCCTTTGTGTACTATCTTCTGCATCATTTTCTCCAACAGAAGCAAAACTTTACACTAATTAGCACATGGCACACTGCGCCAGAAAGCTACTGAAACGATGTAATCCTTCACAGCAGTGTCAGCCTGAGGAACACTGAAACCCAACTGTTCCATCCTGGTTCACTTCAGGATTTCCATGTTCATTGCCAGCACAATAAAGTTACCAAAGTGACATTTTACTTCTATCAATATTATCATTTTCCTGCTTTCCACTAGTAGTAAGAATCAAGAACACTTTGTTTCTTTTCTTGTTTGTCTCTTTCTTTCTTTCTTTTTTTTTTTTTTTTGAGGCAGGGTCTCTCTATGTAGCCCTAGCTGTCTTGGAAGTCATTATGTAGAACAGGCTGGCCTTGAACTTACAGAGATCTGTCTGCCTCTGCCTCCTGAATGCTGAGATTAAAGGTGTGTGCCACCACAACTGGCCTTTTAGAGCAAATTTTTAAAATTCTCAAACTGTACCAATGCCTACAAAAACAGGATCTGGTGACGGTATGGAAGAAAAGAGCAAATCTCATGGACTGAGGTCATTGTAAAATGCTCAAAGTCCTTAGTTTCATATAAGGTTTTGATTTTGTATTAAACCTGGAAACTTCTACCCACATACAAACATATTTTAGAATTTCAGGGATGTTAATAGTTATCTGAATATATAAGTGCTAGGTCAACAGAGAGAAGCCAAAGACAGGGAAATGGACAGTTACTGGCAATCGTGCCATTCTTAGTGGATCATTCAAGCTGGACTTAAGATCAAGGTTGGCAAGGGCTCCTGGGAAGACTGGGAGATGGCAAAGCAGACCCAGCCCATACTGTAACAAGGCACAAAGAACAATGGAATGGAAATCAGAAACCCCAAAATCTAAATCCTGGTTGTGCTACTCAATTTGCAATTAACCACAGATGTAGCCTAAATCCACATAAACATTCTATGAACATGAAAGGTAACTTACTCAATATCTTTTCGTACTGATCCCATGAGATTCTCCCTTTCCCGTATTGCCATAAAGTTTGCTTTGGTTTTATGGAATTCATGTGTATAATCCTGAAATAAATCAATATCCAGTCTCAACACAAACTATTAATGTACTTTTATCCCTCTAAAGTAGCTGTGCGTGGTCATCAGATTACACGATTCAAACACTAAGCATTTCACTACCTAGTACCATAGCACACAGAATTATAAAGACAAAAGTCTAAGACAAAATGACTTCAGATAGCATAGGATAAAAGAACAGAGAGATTTTTCTACTCAGTGGTGTACTTAATAAGGCTCATGGCTTATTTTTTTCAAACCTTTGCCCCCATCCCCATCTTCCCTTCAGTGTTGGGGATCCAACTCAGGACTTTACAAACGCAAAACAAATGCTCTACCACTGAGCTACACCCTCAATTCATTTTCAAGTAAGTTTATAGTTTTTGTCTATTTTCCTATTTTGTCTTCCGTGTTTATATTCATTCTGTGTATATTAAACAAAGGAGTCATTTGTTGTAGTTTCTGACATCAGATCTTCCTTAGCTCTTTACTGCTCAGAAATTATATTACAAATTTCATCCAGGCTCCATTTGGAACTTTGATGGTTCTTCTTTCCTCTCCTCCTTTCTTATGCTTTTTCTACATTTAAATCTTTGGCTTGGGGGGGGGGAGTGGGAGGGGTGGGGGAGATCTGCTAGTGAAGCACTATCTGATTGCAGCTGGGCTGTAAAAAGCTGGGTGTTGAAAGTGTACCCCTGTAATCCCAGCAGTGAGGAGACAGAGAAGAGAGGAGCCCTTGGACTCACTGGCTGGTCATCCTAGCCAAACTGGCAAGCCCCAGTTCCTAGTGAGACCCTTCCTCAAAAACCTAAAGAACAACTAAGGAGCAACAAACAAAGGTCGACCTTTGGCGCGCGCACACATACACACCCCTTTAAAGAATTTTTACAATTTATGCATGCATGTTTGTATGTGGGTGCACGAGTGCATGTGTGGAGGTCAGAGGACAACTTGCAGGGGTTAGTTCTCTCCCTTCACCATGTGGGGCCCAAGGAGTGAATTTAGTTTATCAGGCTTGGCAGCCAGTGCCCTGACCCATTGAGCCACTTGGCTGGCCCCTAGATACAAACTATCAATTATCCTAGTTTTTAAACAGGCCTTAACATGTGGTAGAATTTAGTATCCCTCCTCTGCACTTTCAGAACTGTACTAAGTTTTATTCTTGGTTACTCTTATATGATTCTAAATGGACTTTGCTATTCTAAAATAAGAAAGTCATGCTTGGCTGGTGCACACCTGTAATCCCAGTACTTGGGAGGTGGAACAAGAGGATCAGGAATTCAAGGCCAGTTTGTGGCAAAGGAAACTCTGTCTCAAAATAAAATTAATTCATTAATTAAAAAAAAAACAAAACAAAGAGTTGGATATGGGCACACACTTACACACTTGTAATGTTAGCATTTGGAGGCTGAGGCAGGAGGATGAAAGTCAGGGAAAAGTCTGGACTACAAAGCTAGACCATAGATAGAGTCTGCCCAAACAAAAATCACTTCCCATGTTTTCCTTTATATATGTGTATATAAGTTTTCATTTACCCCGCAAGAGGGTTTTGAACTCCTGATACTCTTGTCTACCTCCCAAGTACTGGGATTACAGGTGTACACCATCACATCTAGCTGTGTTTGTGTGCGTGTGTGTGTGTGTGTGTGGGGGGGGAGTTTTCATTTTCTGGTGCTCGTGACTGAATAAGGACTTCATTTATACTATCACTATGCTGCCCCACCCCCCAAGCCCCTTTCATTATATTTTCTAATAAGTCATTGTTTATACAGAGGATAATGGCTTGCTTTAGATATACCATCTTTACTAAATTTGTTTCTAGCTTTTCACTTAACTTCTTGGTTTATGAGACATATATGATCTTATCATGCCATATATTAGGAAGTTTGCCTCTTCCTTTCAAATATTTATCTTTCAGGTTTTGCTGTTGTTTTTATTAACTGTACCAACAAGAAACTCCAAAGCAATGTCAGACATTTATGGTGGTTATAAGTACTCTTTTCTTGTTTTGTTTTTTTTCTTTAAGTCAGGGTCTAATTTAGTCTACTATACCCTTGAACTTCTGATTCTCCTGCCTCTTCCTTCTGAGCGCTGGAATTATAGGCCTGTACCAGCACATCCAGTTCTATGCAGAATTGGGACTTAAACTCAGGGCTTTGTGTACACCAGGCAAACACTCTGCTACCTAAGCTGTATCCCCAACTCCCTTTTTCTTTAGTGAGAACGCTTTTAATGTTTTCCCACTGGCCATAATCCTAGTTCTCAACCTGACATTCACATTTTTGCATTAGGCAAATTGTTTTTAGTCCTTCTTTGTATGTGCGTTAGTGCATATGTGGTGGTTGGAAAGAAAATGGCCCCTACAGAGGTACGGCTTTGTTGGAACAGGTGGGTCTTGTTGGAGGAAGTGTACTGTGGAGGTGGGCTTTGAGGTCTTACATATGTTCAAGCCATGCCCAGTGAGACAGACCACTTCCTGTTGCCTCTGCAAGATGTAGAAGACTCAGCTACCTCTCCAGCACCATGTCTGCCTGAATGCCGCCATGTCCAACCATGATGATATTGGACTGAACCTCTGAACTGTAAGTGAGCCACCACAATTAAATGAGTTGCCATGGTCACAGTGTCTCTTCACAGCAACAGAAATCTTAACTAAGACAGCACAAGTACACACTTGCACTTCTGGAGACTAAACTTGGAGCCTTGTGCATGCTAATCACAAACTATTCCTTTTTGTTGTGTTTTTTTTTTTTTTTTTTTTTTGGCTCCCCTCAAGATATGGTCTCACTATGTAGCCCTGGCTAGCCTGGAATTCACTACACAGACCAGGTAGACTTCCAACTTGTGGCAACCCACCTGCCTCTGCCTTGCAGGTGCTGGGATTATAGCTACATGCCATCACACTCAGATTCCTAGCTGCGAACCAGCAAGATGGCTTAGCAGGTAAGGGCGCTGCTGCCAGGCCTGACGATCTGAGTTCAATCCCAAGATAGAAAACTAGAACTGAATCCTGCAAATTGTCCTCTGACCTCCACACATGCACCACGACACATGTACTGTGACACACACGCACAAGCTTGTGCACACACACATGCACACACACAAATAAATGTAAGAAAAGAAAGTTTTAAAAAAGATTCCTATCTTTGTGTGTGTACGTGTATGCACGTGCATGAATTTCCTATACATATGTATGCAGAGGCCAGAAATGAATGTGGATATCTTCTTCTACTGTTCTCCATCGGCTTTTTGAGACAGGCTCTCTCAATGAAGCTTGCTGTCTTGGCTAGGATAGCTGGCCAGCAAGTTCTTAGGATCATCTGTGTCCATCTCCCACAACACTGGAGGAACAGGACATGTGCCCTCGCCTGCCTTGTATATGGGTTCTCGGGATGTGAACTCAGATCCTCTTGCTTTCATAGCAAGCACTCTGACCAACCAGCCATCTCCCCAGGCTCCTATTACCACCACCACTACCACCACCACCTTTAGACATGGTCTCACTCTGCAGTCCTGGCTGACCTGGAACTCATTATGCAGACCAGGTTGGCCTTGAACTCACTGAGACTGGCCTGCCTCTGACTTCTGAGTGCTGGGATTTAAAGGTGTGTATCAATTTTTAAAGAGTTCTTAAATAGGCTGGAGAGATAGCTCAGCAGTTAAGAACCCTGGCTGTTCTTCCAGAGGACCCTGATTCAATTCACAGCACCCACAGGGAAGCTCATAACTGCCTGTAACTCCAGTTCCAGAGGATCTGGCACCCTCACATACACACATACAGGCAAAATACAAATGTACATGAAATAAAAATAAGTAAGTTATTTTAAAAAGTTCTTAAATTGTAGTAGTTGATTACTTTTCTTAGTAAAAAAAATGTCTGCCTTCCAATTTTCACTTCTGTATTTTAATACCACCTAATAAATCTTTAAACATTTACGTTGTTTTGTTCTACTTTGATATTCTAAACACAGTTAACTATTCCTCTTCCCTGTTACCTCGACAACATAAATACTAAGCCTAACATATTACCTGTAGAATGTCTCTATGTCGCTGCAACGTATGCATCAGTGCTGCGTTCAAAGAGGGGACCCCTGCACTGTTGGTATATTCTGCCATTTTGTCATTCACCCCCGTAAGCTAGGAAGAAAAGGAGAAAGTATTTTAAAAAGCACTAAAAGCAACTCAAGTACATTATCTGCCTACATGTCCTCTTGGCTGACAGTAAACAAGGCAAGACTCAATCAATCAGCATTTCCCACAAATGACATCTGTTACAATTTGGATGGCTGCCATTAAAATTCAAGCGTTTGGAGGAGGAACACACCTTGAAGGAATGAATGGTTTCAACAAACAACATAATTCAGAACCATATCTAACAAATAGCAAACTAGTGTTTACCCAAAAGCACTTACCCTTGCCAAAAGCTGTTCAATTTCAATTGCCATTGTCTCAAACATTCTATCTTGACTTGATCCATTTAATAGGGGTGTTGTGTCAGAACTAAAGAAAATTTAATTAAAAAAAAAAATCCATTACTTAGTGCTTTAAAACAGCCTTAAACTAATAAGATAATTTTTCCTAAAGAGGTCAAATGAACCCCAAAACATTCCTTCTGTTTCTTTAAAGATCATGCTTTTACGGCCAGCAAGATGAGTGAGTGGATAAAGGTGTCTGCAGCCAAGCCTGATGCCCCCAGTTCAACTCCTGGGATCCACGCAGTAGAAGGAGAGAACTGACTCCTGTAAGTTGTCCTCAGACGGCCCACACTGTAGCCCCTCTACATAAATAAGTGTAATTAAAAAAAAATAACTTAACTATGATTTCGTTTTTCTTTTTTTTTTGGTTTTTTGAGACAGGGTTTCTCTGTGTAGCTTTGCGCCTCTCCTGGAATTCACTTGGTAGCCCAGGCTGGCCTCGAACTCACAGAGATCCGCCTGGCTCTGCCTCCCGAGTGCTGGGATTAAAGGCGTGCGCCACCACCGCCCGGCTTCGTTTTTTCTTTTTAAAAATATCCCACATGCCCTAAAATACTAAACACAGTGCAAAATATAAATGAATATAAAGACATTCCGAATGCTGTGTACTATTCCCCAAATGACAGAAAATAGCTGAAGCAACTCAAACTCTGAATCTGAGAGAACAAATAATGGGAAAGAAGCCAAAAACTCCTTAAAATAGTGAAGAAAAAAATGGATTATAGATTCCATTTGGGGCCTGTGAGAAATAACCTTTAGCTTTTCTCCAAAATTACGGTTTATGCCTTTAAATTCTCTCTTCCTCTATTGACTCTTAAGAAATAAAACTGAGATTTAAGTGACCTAATTAGATAAGCAGTTATTAAAGAGTCAGGAGCTTAGCATTCAGGCCAATGGAGCCACGGCCAGCACACTTTCATACCAAGTTCCCACATGTCCATCATAATATGCATTCACCTCATACTATTTTACAAAAATATTTTTAATGTCTTTTTATACCACAATAGCCAGTCAGAAATCTGACTTTTTACAGATGAAAGATGTTTGACAGACTCAAATTTTAAAATCACACATCCTGAGAGCTTCATTTATCTCTTCTGAAAAAACAAAACAAAACAAAACAGTACCTTTTATCAGGAACCCAAGTAGTGTATCTATAACCACACAAGCAGCTTCATACTGACCAGCTATCCTTCACACAAATAAAATGGATTACACTCTCCAATCTGACTGAAGACCTTTTCCTGCCCTTTCATAGCATTTGAATGTAGAGACTCAAAGATTAAACCATCAATTCATTGTCAAAAAACTTTAGCTACCACTGTTCCCCTATTTACTTTCACAACAAAACCAATCAGTGAAACAGCCAAAAAATAGCTAATAAGAATTATTTAAAAGATTATTTATTTTACTTTATGTTTTGTTTGTTTGTTTGTTTTTTGGCCTATGTGAGTTTACATGCATCATGTGCATGTAGGAGCCAGAAGAGACCGAGAAGGAAGCATCAGATTTCCTGGACCTGGAGTTACAGGCAGTTGTGAGCATGGTCATGTAGTTGCTGAGAATCAAACCTGGGTCCTCTGCAAGAGCAGTAAGAGCTCATGGCCATCTCTCCAGCCCCAGATTCTTTGTCCTTAAAGACAGAGGTTTACTTTGTATACACAGGCCAAGCTAGCCTGGAACTTGTGACCTTTCTGCTGCATTCTCTTAAGTGCTGGGATTATAGACATGTACCATGCCTGGCTTTAATAAGGATTCTTATTAGATGTTTAACTAGATCTTAAGCTTTATTTCTTCTTCAAACATTCCCACATATATGCCTTGCAACATGACATAAAAATATCTAGTTCTTAGCCAGGCATGGTGGTACATGCCTGTAATTCCAGCACTTGGGAGGCTGAGACAAGAGGTAACAGGGTTGAGTCCAGCTTGGGCTACACAGTGATAAAAGAGCGTGGTGTGGAGATTGGGATCAGTTCTTTACTGTGTCACAGCTAAGCTAAGGTTGTGAACGTATCTCCTAGAATGTGCAACCACAAAAAAAGCTGTTTATTGCTAATATAAACCCTCCCCTACCAGGTACATTAAAAGAACAGTGGGCCAACAGAAGTCAAGGAAGAAAACTGCCTCTGTCTGCTTCATAGTTATATGCCTAGCACATGGCAAATTCTGACAAGTTACTGCTCTTTAAATATTTGTTGAATGAATGAGTAACAGGGCACCTCTACTACTGGATATTTCATATTCATCATTCTTAGGACAGTAGAGAAGTCCAGGGAAATGGTCAAAAACCCATCTCTACAACATTAGGATTCAGTTAAATTAATTCACTTGATAGTGTGTGATGATCCACAGACCTTCTGACTTTTTTTAACTAATTAATTAATTTACTTGTTTATTGAGACAAAGTTTCTCTGTGTAGGTAGCCTTGACTGCTCTGGAACTTGCTTTGTAGACCAGGATGATTTTGAACTCACAGATTCGTCTGCCTCTGCCTCTCAAGTGCTAGAATAAAAGGCATGCAACACCACCTCCCGGGGACCTTCTGATTTTCGACATACAGAAAAACAAAAACAAAACAAAACAAAAACCTCCAAGATTCCTAAAAGCTCTGGTGACTGCTAACTTTATTCATGTGACATGTGACATGCTTCCAATCTGGGCATCAAACAGAAGCCTTAGCACTTGAAGTCAGGCTTTATTTTCCAGTGCTGGGGATTACAGGCAAGGCCTCACACCCACCAGCTAAGTGCCCTGCCACAGAGCTCCAGCCTTAGTCTGTGTGCTCACAATCTTAGGCTCTCTAGCGAAAGCAGAATCAGTCCCAGTTTGTAGCTGAACTCAGAATGTTTTCAACACATTGTTTCTTTTAAAGGGAATCCAAGCAGAGACCACAGAAAAGGCATCCTGCAATAGTATTTCCTGACATACTTGAGTTTTAAAATTGTATACTAATTGGCAAAACCAAATGTGAGCTTTAAATCTGGTAAAAAGCTTTCTGTACAGAAAATTTACTCAGTGGGAAAAAAAAATCCTCACTCCCTCACTCTCCTTACTTAGTGAATGAAAGTGTGCAAAGCAATGCCTTGCACTGGAGTCCATGGGGCATGCTACTAACATTTTTAGGTCCCAAAGTCAACACATTGGCCTTGCTAACTTTGCAAGCCACATGTCCTTATGAAAAAGGAGGGGGCTGGAGAGATGGCTCAGAGGTTAAGAGCATTGACTGCTCTACTAGAGGTCCTGAGTTCAATTCCCAGCAACCACATGGTAGCTCACAACCATCTGTAATGAGATCTGGTGCCCTCTTCTGGCCTGCAGTCATACATGCTGTATACAAAATAAATAAATAAATAAATCTTTAAAAAAAAAAAAAAAAAAAAAAAAAAGAGCCGGGCGGTGGTGGCGCACGCCTTTAATCCCAGCACTCGGGAGGCAGAGCCAGGTGGATCTCTGTGAGGTCGAGGCCAGCCTGGGCTACCAAGTGAGTTCCAGGAAAGGCGCAAAGCTACACAGAGAAACCCTGTCTCGAAAAAAAAAAAAAAAAAAAGAAGAAGAATGTGGGTTCTGGAGAGAGAAGGTGTAAGTTCAGATTCAAGCTCAGTTTTGTTGTTTTAATTATTAGCTAAAAAAATCCATCCTCCACTACTCTTTGAAAAATACAGAAATAAGAGCCGATTAACAACGGACAACTCTGCTATCAATGCTATCATCGCATTAATGTGCATGTATATGATGGGCGTATACGTAAGTACAATCTGGGTGGAGATATTCACAGCAGCATTTTTACAAGGCTCGAAGAATGGAACTTGCAATACAGTGATTACTCTATGTTAGCTATTAAAATTATTAATTAGCAAAAATTAGAAACGTCCACCAAATAGCTAAATCCTAATGCAGTTAATATGTGAAGCAAATGAAGACAGCAGAGTTAAATGCATCAACAACTGAACCTCAAAGATAATGTTAAATAAAAAACCACACTGCAAAATAGCTTTTGTCAGATACTATGAATTGCCCAGGAATACTAAGATATGTAACAAAAATAGTAATATTTATATGCAAACAGGAAAGACAACATGGTATGCTATTAGGGGCTTCACTGGAATCTGCAATGATTATTTTTTAAAAAGAGACAGAAGCAAAAAAAGGTTCATTATGTTATTCCTTATATCTTTCTAAACATCTCAAACATTGCCTGATTTTTTTTTTGTGAAACAAGTGGATAACTTAATCACAAGACTAAAATATGAATAAATTTTTCTTGGGTTATAATATGCTAGTTTCTCAAAAAAGAAAAATAGATCAAACATTAAAACTAGCTTCCATGATCAACTGTGAGGGTCTTGCATTAGATTCATGCTAAAAGAATAAAACACCAGAAAGTTTGTATGTTTTGCATTTAGGTTAACTCCTCAGTTCCATTCAGAAATTACAAAACAAAAATCAGCCAGGTGGTTGGGGGCACACTCCTTTAATCTCAACACTGGGGAGGCATTGGCAGGAGGATCTGTGAGTTTGAGACCAGCTTGGTCTACAGAGTGAGTTCCAGAACAGTCAGAGCTATACAGAGAAACTATCTTGAAAAAAAAAAAAATCAAACAAACAAACAAATCATTGTGGGCAAATCAGACACTTCCGTGGACTGAGACTGAAACTTCTCTGGATTTGCTATGGAGCCCAGTTGAGTTTACAAAGCCTCCACGTGTTGGGATAACAGGTTCACAGGCCTGGCATCAAAAACATTATTGATATAAACTCATTTCTAAACTCTAGACGTTTCCTCCTGAGCTATTACAACCTTGGTCTAAAGCTCTCGAATGTTAGACTCAAGAATTACAATTTCGTAAGACACCCTCCACACATACACCACCCCCAGAAGACAGTGACAAAGAAATGAAAACATCAACAATTCACCAGCACACCAAGTCATAGAGTTCTACAGCTCGGTTTACTTTCACAAACATCATACAGTTAAGGTACACGAGAAGCTGGCAGTACCTATACCTATCGCGGCCTCCATCTCGAGCGTTGCTGTGACTGTAACTTGTGCACAGTTTACTGAAGGAAACTAGTTTCAGGTCAAGTTCATTTTCCAGCTGTCGAGCTTGTTTCCTGAGATCTTTAAGGAAACCACAAAAGCAAATCATTTTCCACCAAGAGACATTAAAATCACAAGACAATTTTAAGAAATCGTCAACTATCGTATATTGATCTCTGATCTAGTTCCCCAGAAATGGAAGACTTACCCAAGAAAGTAAATTAGCCATGTGTTTAAACTTCAGACAGGAGCGCTAAGAGAAGCAGCGGTAGGAGACACACAACCTGTCTGTCACTCTTCTTTGAGAGACAGCTTGACAACCAATGCCCTAACATTCCTGAGATTACTTTTACAGCAATAACCCAAAGTTGTAACTTGAAGGAAAACAAGAGAATATAAATCACAAAGATATGAAAATGGTTTATGACCATCACATCAATTTACCAGCTAACTTTACAAGAAGCCTGCATTCTTTTGGTCTTTTTTTTTTTTTTGGTTTTTCGAGACAGGGTTTCTCCGTGTAGTTTTGGTGCCTGTCCTGGAACTCTCTCTGTAGACCAGGCTGGCCTCGAACTCACAGAGATCCGCCTGCCTCTGCCTCCCGAGTGCTGGGATTAAAGGTGTGTGCCACCGCCCAGCTTGCCTGCATTCTTTTTGAAAGAAATTTCCTTTTATGTTTCAAAGCTTTGTTAGGATTTATTATACAGGTAAAATACCTTAGCATTTAAACACAAAGAAAAAGCAAATCAACAAAAATTAAAAATGCTTTTCAAAAACATTGGGGGAAAATAGAGGTTAAAAACAAACAATGCACTATGAACAAGGCGAAATACAAATCTAACAGGTTTATTTAAAAGCATATGTTTTAAAAGTAGAAGCAAACAGATAAAAAGGTGTAACAGCTTGGCTTCTAAAGGGCTGAATGAAAGAAGCCAGATATATAATATATATATATACATATATATATATATATATAAAATATATCTGTATTCTTATTCATGGTAGAGTTCGAATGAAAGGCTAAAATACAGGAAGGAATAATGTAAGAACGTCTTAGGAATACGAATGCTGTGAAAGGCAAGAAGCAGAATTATATGATGGAGTAAACCTACCCAGCGACCAAATCCCACTTCCAATGTCAGCTCCGCCACCTACTGTCTTTGAGATTTACTGATGATTCAGTTCATCTAAAAACTTCAGCCTTCAACTTAAAGAATCTAGCACAAGCTATATTGCCAATAATGGCTTGCTATAATTATTACAACATAGTGTTTCATAGCCTAATGACTATCAAAGATACCAGTAGCCATTTCTTCATAACTTAGAAGTAAATTTAACTACTACCGGTATTCCCAATGGGCATTTGAAATACATATTTTAAGCTCTAGGCATGTTTCTCTAACTATAGTCTTGTCCAATGGGAAATATCAAGTAAAAAGCACTTTGAAAATATGACAGATAGGAATTTAAAATTCAGTCCTTTATGTCAAGAGGTTGATGATAAGAATACCATACTTTCCAGGGGCTTCATCAGTCAGAAAGAGGAAATAGGTTTAAAAAAAAAAAAAAAAAGGAAAGCAGCAAACAGTTAAATAAAATGTGAGCCATTTCTGATCGTGTGGCTCATCGTGGTCTAGGAATGTTTTATATGACCTCACTTGATGGGACCAGATTTTCAGGAATTAAAGTTATTTTCAGTATTCTGTCACCCCATCCTCGATGAAGTCTCAATCTTAAATTGCCAATAGGGGTCCAGGAGGAGACGTTCCACGCCAACTTTCCCCAAGGCCGGGACTGACAAGTTCCTCTCACTCTTAGTTTTCTGGCAGTGCCCGCAACTCCAAGGCTCCGACTACTCGTCTTCCCGGGCTCAACACTCGTCTCCTCGCAAGAGTTCGTCCCCAAAGCCCCGTCCGCAGAGTCTCACCACCCCTCAGGTACGTCCACCTGGAGCCCCGGGCGCCTCTTCCTCCCCTTCCCCGCTCCCTGCACTCCGCCCAACCCCTTCCCAGATCCGGCTCACTCCGCCCCAGCCTCTTTCTCAAGTTCCCAGGCCGGGGGCTCCTCTCGGACGACCTCCTCCCGCAGTGTGGCCGCTCCGGAGGTCTGTCTCTTCCCTCTGCTGCCTTCCTCAAGACCCAGCCCCACTCAGTCCCCTGTGCACCTGGCAGGACCCACCCGGAGGCCTCGCCCTCACCTTCCCAGTAATTGCTGGTTCCCGCCGCCATCTTTGTTGCCCAACGTCAGTCGGGACAGGAGAGTAGAGGCGTGGCGGGCCAGAGAGTCACCTCCACGCCTTCTTCCACCCAGAGCGCCAGGGCTGATGGGATGTGCGAGTCTCCGTAGATAGCTCCACCTGGTGGACAGTTCGCTATTTTACAGCCTGAAGTGGCACGTTAGAAAACTTCGGTTTAGCTTATGACGCTGCCTGAATCTGTCTTTTTCACGGCCTCCATCTTCGATTCGTTCGTCTAGGCTTGTTCCTCTTTTTAGCAGGTGACTGAGAGGAGAGACACTCACAGTTCCCTCATGTCCCCTTAACTAGATGTTTGGGGACTTGGGGGGTGGGGTGTAGTTTAGTGTGTAAGATGCCTGCCTTAGATGTATGTAAAAGGCTCTGGGTTCGATCCCCAGCACTCCATAAACAGAACATGGGGTGGCACATGCCTTCAATGCTAGTACTCAGAAGGTGGGGATCAGAAATTTAAGGTCATCCTCAGCTACGTAGGAAGTTCGCAGCTAGGGATAAATGGAACCCTGTCTCAAGAAGAAAAAAAACGCATCTTCAGTCAGCATTTTCCTTTCTCGGAGCTAGAGGCTCTGCCTCATCCCACCTCTCCCCTTGTGCCCATCTTCCACTCCCCAGCATGTGAAGCTTTCTTCACTCCCTGTTTTCCTTATGTCTACAGCAGAGCCTCAGTCTTCTGTCTCCTTTCTAATCGGCAAGGGTGTGCTAACTGCTTCCTTCCCTTTCCTAATATGCCCACAACCCGAAGCTCACCGATTGAGTTAGATTGGCCGGCCGGCAAGCCCCACTTCTGCTCCCCCCGTGCCGGGATTAGAGACATGGGCAGCTGTACCTGGCTTTTCATGATTGTGCAAGGGATCTGAACTCACAACCTCGTGCTTGTATGCCAGGCACTTTACTGGTTGAGTATCATATGCATTATATTAATAAATTGTTATGTGTTGTTTAAGTTTATTGAGAAGCTGGCTGTGGACATAGGGTTGCACTCCCTGCCCCCACACATACACACACTTCATACCCAAGAATGTCTGTCTTAAAGTGTCTCATCAGATCCCCTGTCTGGGGATGGGCTGGCTGGCTGGTCCTTTGAGAAGGGAAAAGTAGAACAGCAAAATGGCCCAAAGAGTAAAAATACCATGTCCACGAGAACAGAAGAGAGTAAAGTGTTTGAGTCTAAACACTGTGTCCTTGATCACAGCTGGAAGGCCAATCATTCCCATTCACCTTCCCAATATAAAGATCTGCCTGTGGTGGGGACGGCTCATTGGCAGTGTCACCTAAGAGAAGACTTTCTTCCTGGAGCCCTTTTGTGGATCAGAGGCTCCAACTGACTGTTTCTGTTCTCCAGGCTTCCGCAGTTGCTTTCTGCTGGATGACGTAAGTGATCTCATGAACTACTTCCTCCTTCCTGTCGGCTGTTTCATTCTTTTACTTCCGCTTGCTGTATACCTAAAAAGCGCATTCATTTGAAAAGAGCGTGGCTATTGCAGATCATTCTTCAGACAGAACACTGAGCCCTCTCCCCCCTTCCCCCCCAGGGCTCATTTCTAAAACTCGATTCCCCACTGTTCTGGTTGGAGAATATCCATTCTTCTGTCTACGTGTGGATTGACAAACAAATGGGTCCTTCCTCTGCCCCCTCCATGTGGCTGCTGAACCCATTTGGTGAGTTTATTTCAATTATTGAGTTTTTCAGATCTGAAAACTTGCACTCACATCCTCATGTTCTTTTCCTTGTGAAAACAATTTCCTGCTGAGACTTTTAAACATCATTTGTTGCAAGTTTTTTTTATAGCTGAGGGTGATGGTGCACACCTTTAGTCCCAGCACTTGGGAGGCAAAAGCAAGTGGATCTCTGTGAGTTTGAGGATGGCCAGGCTTACATAGTGAGTTCCAGGACAGTCAGGGCTGAGTAGAAAGAGTCTATCTCAAAGAACAAAACAAACAAGCAAAATCAAAAAAGTTTGTTTATAAGTGCTCTCCAAATTGTTTTCATCATAGGTGTTTTTAATTCTTTTCGGATAATTCTGACATCTAGATGTTGGAGTCCATTGGTTGTGCTTTTTCATTAGTTTAAATTTCCTGGGGTTTTGGTGTACGAGCGATATATGTCTGTCTATGTATGTGTCTTGAATATTTTAGGGTGGGGAAAGATGCATCAGTTGGTAAAGCAAGCCCAAGGACATGAGTTTGAATCCCCTAGCATCCATACACCTATGTTAAAAATAAATAAGCCAGGAATAAAAGATTGAATTTGTAACTCTAGTGTGGGTGTTGGGGGTAGAGTGGGGAGATGGCCAGATCACAGGAGCTCATTGGCAGCCCCCAACCTTGTGGAACCTGTGACACTCCAGGTTCAGTGGGTAACCCTGTCTCAAAAATCAAGTGAAGAGTGATTGATGGAGACATCCAGCATCCATGTCAGGCCTCCACACGGACACAAATGCATGCATATCTGCGTGTATACACGCGCACACACACACACACACACACACACACACACACACACACACACACACGTGTATCTCTCACACAAAATAGAAAATTAAAGATTAAAAATGTATCGTGAATATTTTAGGTATTTTAAATTTCATGATTGGAATGTGAAATGTCCCCCCACAGAGTCATGTATTTGAACACTTGGTCTCCAGTGGGTGGTGCTATGTAGGTTGTGGAACCTTTAGGAGGTGGAGTCTTGCTGGAGGAGGTGGAGTCTTGCTGGAGGAGGTGGAGTCTTGCTGAAGGAGGTGAAGTCTTGCTGGAGGTGGTAGAGTCTTGCTGGAAGAGGTGGAGTCTTGCTGGAGGAGGTGAAGTCTTTCCAAGTAATAACATATTAGGAATAAATAGTTTTCTCTAAATGAGCCCGTGTTCCCTAGTTACTAGGCCTCTGAGTTTGTTCTCCCATGGTAGGTGGGAAGAGACCCACAGCAGCTGTGCACGAGCCTCAAGTCCAATATCACTTTGGACCTCAGCTGAAGACCAGCAAAAAACATCCATATGCAGACTAGAGATGGGGACATGAACCAGGAACTAGGGGAGATGGTTAAAGTGTTGCGCAAGTGTAAGGACCTGAGTTCAGATTCCCAGCACTGGCGTAAATGCCAGGCAAGTGTGGTTGCTTGCCTGTAATCCCAGCATTCGGGAGGCAGAGGCAGGAGATCCCTGAAGCAAGCTGGCTAGCTAGGCTAGCCAATCAGTGATCTTTGTTCAAGTGAGAGAATCAGGAGAGCAGTGAGGAAGACACTTGACAGGAACCTCTAGTGTGCACATGTACATACACATGTATGTATGCCTATACACATGTATATATACATGCACAGATACCACACAAACAGGCATGCAATAAAGAAGAATGAATCAAAATCCATGGTATTTTTTGGTGAGTTAGAGGATCTGCTCCTACAGATTTAATAATCTGTAATACTTGATAATCTTACTCTGTCATTCTGCAGATCTTAGTCTCGTATTTCCTCCTGTTAGTGGGAATGCTGAACTGAAGATTTCTTGAGGTGTTCCTGAAGGGAGCCCTGGTAGACAGCTTTTCTTAACTGCTCAAAAATGTGCCATGACTTCCCAACAGAGTGTCTTCTTGGAAGAGACAACAGGGTGTCGACATTGGGTTTCCTCCAGTTTCTGTCTATATTGAAAGGAAGGGTTTTCAAACACAGATTTACACATAGAAACCAGGTTGTATGGACACCATGTGTGACAAGAAAGCAATGCTCAGGTCAATCTCATTTATCTAGTAGAAGACATGGAAGCCTCTAAACCTATCCCTCCTTAGTCTATTTGAGAGTTCCTTTTCATGCTTCAGGGTGAGTATGTAAGCAGGCTTCCCATAGAGAGGTTCACAGGACCCAGTCATCTGAAAACACTCCATTAATTTGAAAATGAGAAGCAAAGAGCTATTCCCCCACCAGTACCTCCTTTATTAGACCCTCCTCCCCATTAACATGTAACATAAGCATTTATACTTTTCTAACGTAGAAACACCTCCACTGAATATGTAGCATCATTACATAGCAGTTGTTTAATACAGAACCAGTTACTCTAAGGGTGTGCAAGAGATTTAGAAAAATATCTCTAATCAAAGCTCCCAACACTAGACCATGCCAAACTCAGAATGTTTGCCCTAGAGAGCTCTTTACGTTTTTTTGGACGCACCAAATATCCACACCAGGCAGCTTGGCAGCACAGAGGTGTGCCAGCCCCAACAGGAGCTTCGTTGTCAGGAAACTCACACCTCGGGGGCGAGGAGAGGAGACACTGTGGCTGTGCCATTTAGGACCCAGGAAAGGCCTTACCTAGCTTGGAGGACCTGAGAGATGAACACTGGGCAGGGGGAATGAATGGGAAATGTCTTAGGGTTTCTATTGCTGTGAAGAGACAACCATGACCACAGCAACTCTTATGAAACATTTAATTGGGTGGCTTACAGTTCAGAAGTTTAATCCATTATCATCATAGTGGGACATGGTGACATGCAGGCAGACATGGTAATGGAGAAGGAGCTGAGACTTCTTCATCTTAATCTGCAAGCAACAGGAAGTGAACTCTGTCACTGGGCTTAGCTTGAGCATAGGAGACCTCAAAGTCCACCTCCACAGTGGCACACTTCCTCCAACAAGGCCGTATGTACTCCAACAAAGACACACCTCCTAATAGTCCCACTCCCTTTTGGGGGCCATTTTCTTTCAAACCACCAGAGGAAATGATGTGTTAAAGGTGGGAAACTGGATTCTCTTTCAGACTAGGAGGCAGGATCTCCAGGTAGTAGCTGAGGACGAAAGGCTAGACCACATGACAAACAAGGTTAATAGTGGGGAAAATCCATTGGCAAGAGCCCATAGGAAAAGAAGGCTCTGACCCAGGAATCTAGTTCTCCTATCAAAAGTGACCCTGTCCCATGCCAAGGCTAGTTTCCTAATCTATTGTGTAGGTAAGGTGTAGGAGTCAAAGGCTATACACTCATCATGTAATGGAATCTCTATCACATGAGACAAACAGCCATGAGTCTGCTCCCTGACTGATTGTGGCATCCCCTAATGCCTGGCTCGGCAGGTCTTCAACACTGTAACCCATGAAAGAGTCAAGGAAACTGGCACTAGTGCTGGGTGTGTTCTAAGCTGTCACTAAGATTGTTGGGGTCTCACCAGGGCATTGAAGTTCATGTTGGACAAACCTACAAATGCAGTATGAGTGCCAGAGGATAATCCGCAGTGTTCTATGAGTCTTTCCTGATTGAAGTTTTCAGGAACGTAGGACATGATATGATATGATAGCAAGGTGCAATAGTTTGGGGTATTCCTTGGCTTGGCAGAAGAATTACATCCCTAGTAGTAACTTTTGCCTCTTCCATGATGTACTTCTGGTTTTGGAACAGGTAGCCACATGGGTTCAGATCTCAGATAGATCAGATCTCAGATAGAATTTTTTCCTATAATGCTGGGCATTGGACCTAGGTCTTCCACATCTAGGCATGTGCTCTACCACTGAACTGTAGCTCCAGCCCTTGTGTGTGTGTATGTGTGTGTGTGTGTGTGTGTGTGTGTGTGTGTGTGTGTGTGTGTGTGTGTAGGCCAGAGGTTGAAGTCAGTGTTTTCTTCAGTTGTCTGCTTTATTTTTGGAGACAGGATCTCTCACTGAACTGATTTGGCTAGACTGGCTAGCCAGCAAACCGAAGGGATCTTCTTGTCTCTGCCCTACTGGCACTGGGAGTAGATGCAGCCTCAGCCAGATTTTTATGTGCGCGCTGGGGAATCAAACCAGGTCCTCATGCTTGCACTTTACTGAATGAGCCATCCCCACCTCCCCTTCCCTCACCAGCCCTTTTTAACTTCAAATTTTGAGACAAGAGTCTCACTAAATTGCCTGGTTGGCCTTGAACTTATTCTGTACCCTAAAAGCCTTGAACTCTTAATCCTCTAGAGTAGCCGGGGCTATAGGCCTATAGTCTGGCTGGCCCATAGGAGTTCTCAGGGTATCTAGATGCCTCTGTTCTTTGTTTACTGCTTGGGTACCACAGCTTGGCTATTCATCCTGCTCACATCCCATGACACTTAGGTTTCCCTGGCTTCAGACATTCAGGTAAGCAAAGTAGCTCTCTCCCCTGCTCCCCAGCACTCCTTACCCCATCCTCCCCTAACCCCTTTTGAGATGGATGGTTTCAGTTTGCAATTTAGGGAAGGATATTGGCACACAGGCAGACATGGTGCTAAAGGGGAGCTGAGAGTTCTACATCTTGATTCCCAGGCAGCAGGAGAAGACTGTGTGCCACACTAGGTGTAGCTTGAGCATATATGAGACCTCAAAGCCCGTCCCCACAGTGACACACTTCCTCCAACAAGGCCACACCTCCTAATAGTTCCACTCCCTATGGACCAAGCATTCCAACACATGAGTCTATGGGGACCATTCCAATTCAAATCACCACACCCACTGAGCCATTTCTCTGACCCAGAATTTACCACTGTCTCTTGCAGGCAGTTGGAGTAGGGACAGATCAGCTCAGTTCACTGTGGGTTAAACTGGTACCAGGTGTGGTTCTCTGTGGAAGTTGATTGCTTTAGGTTAGCCCTTACTTTTACTGTGAAGCTCTTCCTTTTCTAACAGAAAGCAGGTTTACCTGTGTCCACTGTGTGACATGCTGGACTATTGTCTGTAGC